AGATATGAGTAATCCAACTCTTGTCCTATAAGAAACATGTAAAGGCTTTTCAAGTTGAGATTGAAAGAAGGCAGTTGATTAATTAGGTAAACAATAGTGGAGAAGGCCTCAAACCAAAGCATAATAGGCACTTAACCATAACATCATTGGTAGACCTAGCTCTATGGTGTTCCTATGTTTTCTTTCAGTTGAACCATTCTATTCATGCATCCCAACGAATGACACATGCTTAAGATTACCATTCTCACTTAAAAATTACGAAGTTCAAGTAGAGGTGGGCCAAGCCAGGCTAGCACGACACGGCCCACACATGTTGTGGTGGCTCGTAGGCTGTCACGGGCCGTGCCGCCCTCCCTAGTGAAAAGTTTGGGGGTTGGCCCAGCATGGCCCATGGCCCAAGCCTGTGCGATCCCGTGCTACGCTGTGAGTCGGGCTGGCCCATGGCCCAAGCCTTACCCCAAGCTGGGCCATGGATCGGGCCAAACCTTTTTTTGCCTATTTATTTAAAAAAATAAAAAAAAACTTAAAATTTTAATTTTATATGAATTTTGATGTATACAATTGCTTATATATACACTAATTAAATAAAGTAGTATAATAAAATTGAAAACAATTATTTATTTTATTAAGATATTATATACTATATATTATTATATAATTATAGTTTATATAATATATTATATTATATATATAAAAAGTATATATGGGCTGTGTTGGCATGCGGGCCGTAGGCAGCACGACCCGATTTACACCTCTAAGTTCAAGCTCCTTTCCACCGTAACATTGGAAAATATGATCCATTTTTAGATTTCATTTGGGCTCATTTGTATATTTTGTAAGAAGCTGTTTGGAGACTAGTTTTGGCATATTAGGGTGATGTTTGGCATCGATGACGACTCCTCTTTATCGATTATCCACAGATTTTTGGAATCGGTGATTTTTTAAAATCACCAAAAATTATTGTTATATGCCATGTTTTGTACTGCTTCTCAAGGATGGTCATTTTTCCTTGAAATCATCATTTTCTTAGAGACATGTCAGATGCCATGTCATCCTCTAAAAATCGGAATCATCTAAAAATTGGGGAATCACCAAAAATGGTGATCCTTCAAGATGGGCTGATTTCAAGAATTGTTTTTTGTCGATTTTCCAAAGATCTCAAAACTCGACCAACTAAATAGATTGAAAATCACTGATCCACCCAGTATCTAACCCACCCAACCTACCCATTTACTTGGCAGGTTGGAAATGGGTTGATCACCCAACCCGCCCATTTAAACGGGTTGGGTTGGGTTGGGTTGTGGATAACCATTGGGTTAACCACTACATATATAAGTATTAATTCCTTAACTTTTTTTTTTATTTAAATTTTCTTCATTTGAATGAAATAATTTATAATTAATGTATTATTTTTTATTAATTATTGACTAGATTTAGTTTTGTCTCGAATCAACACAGTTCACCCAATTCGAAATAAATCCAAATCAACTTGACTCAAGTCCAGGCTAGCTCAACTTGATCTAAATATGAACAGACCCGATCACCTCGGTCCGGTTCATTTGGATCGGTCAACCTGGTTCGACCCAAACCTGACCCAATACAGTCAGATCCGGTCGACTCAAATCTGAAATGGGTACGGGTGGATGGATCGACACCCTCTTGCTTTACTCTGTTTGGATTGTCCGGGCCGATTAATATTCGCACAACCCGACCCGAATCCGAACAGATCCGATTTACTTCTCTGGATCCACTTCGGGTCAATCGATTCGGTCCCAAACCCGTGCACAAACCTAATATGGGACGGTCCAAGTCAATCCACTCTTGACTGAACCGGTCTGGTCTAGTCCAACTGGAATGATCTAGATCTAAATGGTTCAACCACCCTTGATGTAATTAGCTCAAAGACAATCCAATTAGATAGTTCAAGTTGGTCTGACCGGTTTGAGCCTAAGTGGTTCAGTCAAATTTGAAATCGAACATAGTCAAATGGCTTCGCCGCTTGTGTAATAATAATATACATGTAATGTGATTTGAACCTTCATCACTTGTGTAAATAGCAATTACTATTATCACCAAGCTATGACCAACTTATTTGTCAAGAGAGAGTTAGTTTGTCTTTTAAGTACATAAATATAAGATTAATGGGTTTGGATAGGTTAGATTGGGTTAAAGCAGATTTGGATTAAACCCAATCCATTTAATTTTATATAACTGGGTCATTAATAAGTTGGCGGATTAGATAGATTGGGTAACATAAACCAAGCCCAACTCACCCGCCCAATTGCCACCGCTAAGCAAAGCAGTTAAAAGATAAGACAAATTGCAAACGAATTTTGGAAGTAGTCCTTGTAGGCCATTACCTAAAAGGTTGAGATACTCGAGTGTATGCGTCTTCTTTTAGAACTTTTAATATTCATTAAAGGCATTGCCCTGTCCTTCTTAGACCCAAGAAGTATAAAAATTTGATTCTTTAATCACATATGTTAATTTCTGTAATTGTTCCAAATTTTTATATTTTTCTTCAAATTTCTATTTTTATCATCTTTATTATTCTTCCTGCAATTTTGATTTTTCTATATATACATATATATATATATTCTGTTGTTTTTTATATTTTTTATAATTTATTATATTTTCTGCATTTTTATGTGCTTTCTATTATTTCTTTCAATTTGGATTGAATCGGATCCAATCCAATCCATTTGCATTAAATGAATTGAACTGGATTTTCTTCTATTTGATTTGGGTTGAATCTAAATCGGATTGTTCATAATGGACCTTTATTGGATTGGATCGGATTGGACCAGCCCATTGACAGCCCTATCTGCAAGTGATGGGTTCAATTATATCGAGTGTGAGCTTGATGTGTGTTTCAATTACCATTGAAAAGTTGCATGCATTGGACAGCTCTATCAACCAGAGTGATTATAGAGGCACCATCCCATTATTCGATAGGTTTGCTTGGGTATTGCAATCAGCTTGTTGCGGAATGCAGTCAATAAATTTGATGAACCACTAACACTATTAAAATTGTACAATCAAGAGATCAATGGTGACGAAGAGGATGAGTCAATGGTGATTAGGTCATGCACTGCCACTCATTAAAGTGTGATAGTTGTGTGGTTTAACTAGTGCAATTAAAAAGATGCTCTCTCATGCATGTAATTTATATCCATGGCATATGGTCTATAATTTGTTGTTTATTAATTTATTTGTCAATTAAATTATGTCAGATATTAATGGTGGAGCCACTGCTACCCAAGTTCTGCACTGGAGGGTTAGGGCTCGGTCTTTGGTTGAATATTCATGTGGGACTTGAGCTCAAAACCTTTAGGTATGTTCTTAAGTTTATACCAAACAATGAACATCCCTAATTCTGATGTCTCATCATGAACACAACACAAGTTATCTTCTTTGGTCTAAAACCATGTTGAGGGGTTGATGGGATGTAGTTAATCCTTCCAAAGGAATTGCTTATGCATGTGGGCCTTCAATATCAAAACCCTAAATAATGTATACCAGATAAAAGGCTTGGCTTAAAGAGGATGACATCATCAATTACCAAAATCCTAACCCTTGATTTGGGAGAAGTGATCAGATGGTAAGGGGCGCCCTAAAAAATTGTGTTTTGTATCGTTGGTTGGATATGATCATAAAACCCAAGCAAGCTGAGGACCCACCTGAAGTTGAATTGTGTTTGATTTTATGTGATTCCTTGGTGGGTTGGCAACACAGAGTGGTTTACTGGTTTATAATGCTTGTATGCATACAAATGATGATGTTTCCAGGGGTGTTGGACCATACTAAAAAAAGTAAGCCAAATGGGGAAATAACATATGATAGGTGTGAACTGTGAAGTAGATGATGTGTTTGTACTTTAATTACATTAAAGTCGGAAAAATATCCTAAGTAGAAGAAAAGTAAACTCATTAGATGTTTTAGTTGGGTCGGTTGCACCGGTCTGTACCTAAACTTTTGAACACAAACGTACGTGAATAAATCAGATCATATCTTGCTTGAAAGTTGAAACGGTAGAAAAGGAAAAACCATTTCTAAGGTTGCCAATGTAGCCTCAACAATGCAAACAGAATATATTTGTACAAACCTTCTGACCTTCCTGAAAGGTTTGGGGATGCATGCTAGTGACCATTGGATCAATATATTCACCTATTTTATGCGTGTGACTGTGTGTAAGAAGTGGGGTCCAGTAATCTCTCTCTCTAAAATTATCACTGGTGATAACTGATAAACTGATAATTCTCTCTCTCTCCTCTGTCTCCCATGCACAGACCGACAGATGGATTGTAGTATGGTTACATAAGATGGTATTTAGAGAGTAATACTGCTTGGAAAACAGATGGAAGAGGTGGGGTGAGGGAGAGGAAGATAGTGAAGGTGGAAATAAATTTGTATTTATCATCTGACGTAATAGCTTCATTATTCTCAACCGTCTCAATTACTCTTGCATTAAATTGTTTTTATGAAAATTAAATCCAAAATAGCGCCTTCTTTTCAATGCTCGAACTACCCAACCCCACTTCCTCCCCATCCCCTCCAACCCCATTTAATCATTTTACTTTGATATTTGATAACACCCCCCTCTCTGTCTATCTTTCTATCCATAATCCATCTCTGTTATTAGATCTGTAATTCTTTTTTTTTTCTGCCCCTAACAAAATCCTATATGAATAAATGTCAACAAGAGAGACTAGAGATTTCTTCAAGGTTCAAGGTAAAAGCTCCTGTTTACATTGCATACACATGCTTAACAAAAATAATCTTTGTTTTAGAAAACCATGTTCTTCAATTTATAGCTTTCAAAAAAGGTTTTTATAATTTCTTAATGCAATTTGTTGGTCTATCCTTGTTTTTCGAGAATTTGACTGTTTACCTTTTTATCACTTCCCTAAATATTAAATATTAAAAAACTAAAAATAGATATTATATACATATATACAGAGAGAGATAGAGAGAGAGAGAGGTGTATACGTAACATCTGATGATGAGAAAGTCTGGGCAGTTGCAGTTAACCCATTTACATTATCTTCAGCCAAAGTGGGAGAGAAGCAGAACTAAGTAGAACACTATCTATATTGATATTGCCGATATTCCATGGTTAGATCGTGAGTAAAACAAGAAAAAGAAAAAAAGTAGAAGCCGGCCGTGGGGAGAGAGAGAGAGACTATAGGGACTAGTGATAACTAATAACAGAGGTAGAATACTAGTTCTTCCTTGTCTTTTTGGTATTCTTACTGCTACTGCCGCTGTTGTTGTTATCGTTAAGGAAATCCAACAAAACGGTGCTCTTGCATTTCGGGCACTTGGGGTCGTCTTCCGACAACATAACGTACATGAGACAACGAGGGCAACCAACCAATACCATTGAGGTCGCTTCAGGACTGTTGGAATTGCGGTGGGTCTGTTCTGGACTCTGCTCCGATGACACACAGGAGCTTGGTGGAGACGGAGATGATGACCGGTCAGGCGATTCAACTTGCGGATTGGCTCTTGGTGGTGACAGGTTCAGCTTCAAGTCTAGCTTTGGGCTCTTCCCGTTGCGGCTCATGGCTGCCTCTGCGATCGAATGGCTTTGGGTGTCCTTGCTGGTGTAGCAGATGACGCCGGTCTATGCATACAGAACCAAATTACAGAAATCATCTAAAACAAAGTCACCCCATATCTTTCGATCATAATGAAACAGTATCATCTAACCAAGCACAAACTAATTCAACAAAGATGAAGAGATAATAGTAAGTATGATTGTCTTTGTATTAATAGAAATGGAGACCGTGAGATTCAGTCAAGGCACGTTACCTTGGGGTCAAGCAACTTCTGCCAACCTAAAGGAAGAGGAGGAGAAGGCTTCTGTAATTCAACCGAGGAAGAAGCAAGCTTAGAATGGAAGAGATCGAGCGTGACTGGGATGTTTCGGCCAGGATGGGCTAGGCCGACTGAAGTGGTGACATAACAACCATCAACACCACCAAAACCAGCATCAGTTATGGGCGTACCGCCACTCCATTCAACACCACCACTAGTACCACCAACACGGTCTAGCTGTTGTTGTTGATGATGATGGTGTTGAACCTCTGTGGCCATTATATAATGAGCTGAAGGAGAGAGAGAGAGAGAGGGAGGGAGATGGGTTTTCCTTAAATCTTAATTTATTAATGGAGAGGGTTGGAGGGTATATAGAGAGACAGTAGAGAGAGAGAGAGAAAGGAATAGAAATAGAGAGAGAGAGGGGGGGAGGGAGGATTGAATTGAATTGAAGGATTGGTAGAAGATGAGTGTAAATTGAGGCCAGGAAATGTATTAATTGTGGAAAAAATCCCAAGATGTTTGCAGAAGAAAAAATGCAGTAAATATTGCAATTACAAGTGCAGGGTGCCTTCATTCATTGCTCACATAGTCGGTGTGTATGTGTAAGTATGTGAGAGAGGAGAATCGAACCCAACGGGCAACGGCTATAAGAGGGAAAACAAAGAGTATATTGAACTCAAATTAAAGGAAGGCAGAAGAGAGAATAAAATAAACCAGAGAAGATTTTCAATTCTTCTCTTTCATCTCAGTGGCTTTTATCTATCTTGCTGTTCCTTTGCATCTTCTTTCGTTTCTGGTTTGGTGTTTTGGTTGTTTTCAATTTGAATAAATACACTGAAGGCAGCTTGTTCCTCTCAACTTGGTCTCACACATTGGCCTTGAGGGGCTCATGAGTCCTAATCTTCCCATCAATATGGTTCTATATCATCAACTTCTCAATTCTCATCACGATATTTTAGTAGTAATTTAAAGTAAGTGTGTTTTTAATTATAATAAACAAAAAAATATCAATATGGGTAGGTATATACTCCAAATATAGGTGATTACTTGCCTACATGGCAATTGTTCTTTGACCATGTATTTATTTGAAAAATTATGGGGCCTATATTTAGGTCATTCATCAATTCTTTTAACTTAATTACCATCTCAAAAGACGAGAAATTGATGTTAGATTTTCATTTCTTCTGTATTTTTTCCATGTTTTTGAGTTTTCTTTACAATGTTAAGTTTCAGGTCATTTTCACAATTCTGTGTTTTAGTTCCTGAGTTTCCTCTCTCTCTCTCTCTCTCTCTGGGACTGTGGTATTGGTTGGAAACATAGTTTTTCTGGGTGAAGAGACATATCTACTCTTAGGTTTTTCTTTGGTAGTATTTACATGCATTGTAGTTAAGGAGGGTTTTTTTTTCCCTTCTTTTCCTAGTAAAAAAATACTGGGGCCGGCTAGCTATCTTATTTGGTCAAGTTATTTATTAATTTTAAGTGGGTTTATTGTATTAATACAAATAGGAATCTTAAATAAGTAAACAGAAATAGGAGTAAATGAGACTGGTTACTTAGTAAATGTATTGAATAATAAGCTGCTTTTTAGTAAATGGTTATTAAAATGGGTTTTTATGAAAGCCACCAAGGCCTAGTACTCGTGGAGCTTCTTCATTTATTCCATCTTATTTCTGGTCATGATGGGATAAGTACATATTTATGTCAGTCATTTACTACATGAAGATGGTATTTTCGTTAAATTATGAGGATTAGAAGGTCATTTTAGTATTAGACGTTGTTTTTTTTTTGTTAGTTCAACTACCTAACCAACGGTTTGGAAAGATAATATCAGCCATCCCATATAAACACCTTAACAAATATAGCAATATATTATCTATGAGAAGTATCCGTCTCTCTATCTACATGGACCAGTAGGGCCATCACGTTCCCAAGAACCAAACCACCCACAAACCAGGGGCCTGGCCACCCCTCATTTTGGCTGAGTCGGGTTTAGCCGTGGCCCCTTAAAGTTTCATCAACTTGGCTAGGTTTCCCAACCACACAGACAGCTTGTTCAACCAGGTTATATCTGTCAGACCAGCCATGGACGGATACATTGAGGATATTACTGATTTCAGTGAATAGAATCAGTTTTCTATATATCAAGGAACATTTCAGCTAATTGTCTAGTAATTCTGAATGGCTGAGATAGGAAAATAGTATAAAGCAAAATAATGGGTAGGGGTTAATGAAGAACCTCTTCATCAAAATGGGTTGACTATTTTTTTTTGTTATTTAATATATATATATATATTGAAGAGAATGGAACATTGCAGCAAATTCTAATTAATATTTGCACTGTTACTGTAATAATAATTCTTGTTTCTATCCAAGAACTACCAGTTCTTCTTGAATGAGGAAATGCTAAAAGGTATTCTCTTTGACTACTGAAAAAAAATAATTGACCCTAATTTTCTGGATCTGGTGAAGTATTTATTTATTTCTTCCAAATATGTGCCTGTTTTAGCAGGGCTAATGTATTTGCATCTTCTCTCTTTCTTTCTCTATTATTCAATTTTCTGTGTTTTCTTTCTTTTGGGTAGAGTAGGATGTTCTTAGTAATTGCAGAGGAGAAAAAAATATCATACCTTTCAGATCTATCTCTACAGAGATCCAGGGTTATTTAAAGCACACAACAGTGATTTACAGAGCTCTAAGGGTAATGTAGTAATTGCAAAGTGGGTGAATTTGTTTTGGACGCTTCACGAGAAAGGGGGGATCCATTAAACACCTGTCTTAATTTTTGGGTTGAGAGGGAGAGGTGAAGGGTGTTTAATGGAGTGGGTAGTGGCCATAGTATATATTGAGGTGTGGCCTTAATAATAATTCAATATATTTCGAGTCAATGTTCAAGCTTGAATATATAAAATATCACCACCTATTAACCCATCACGTTTGGGAATAATACCAACTGCTTGATACATTCAATGTAAAGCTTCTTCCTGTTGGCTTACTGACATAATTGTTCAAACCTTTAAATTTATGATGTAATGATCTCTTTCACTCACACAACACAACAGTAATACATCCATATTCACAGAGGGAGAAAAAAGCAAGGTCCATGGTGGTTAAATCTAATTAGGTTTATACTATTCTTGATTCTATCTTGTTTGACTCTTGGGTTGCTTTCATTAATGAGATAATTAATTTATTAATATGGTTGATTAAATCTTAGATTTATAATTTATGTGCATGTAGCTGGCTGGGTAGCTTTTCTTTTAATTTTAATTAGTAAACAAGACCATGACTTGTCAAGATAGGTTGAGTCATTCTGCAAGTAATTATGCTTATCCTTCACTCAAACTAGTTACTCATTGAATTAAAGTTCCATGTGCTTGTGCTTTTTTGTTTCTTCTTCCCATGTTTTGATTTTTGAAACCCACCAAAGCTTCCAGCCCCTTCCCCCCAAAAATAATAATAATAAATAAATAAAGAAAAAGAATAAAAAATAATTTAATTATTTGTACACGAGCCCATTTTCATTGGGGAAAATGTCATTAATTCATAGAATTCAAATTCTGTACGGCTAGATCCTTGTTTGGATTGGTGGAATTTGATGGTGAAAGTGGAATTGTACACCCTTGGTTCTGCATGGATTACTTCCTCTTTGGGGTTTGGATTTTTTTTTTTAACTGGGGGTTTGTAATTCAGCAACTAGCTATTTTAAGCTTGCAAATCCAACATTTTTGTATGAGTTTCAACTTTCTTATCTTTAATTTTGTGTGTGTGCGGGAGGGGTCTGGATTTCAGGGTTAGAAAAATGGAAATATTGGAATTTAATTGGTTGCAGTTTCGTGAAATTCAAGATGACTATACCCTCAAATGAATATTTCCTAATTCCTCAAAAGTCAGAACTTGAAGATTTGAAATTCATCTTACTGCTACATGTTAAAAATGCACACAAATGGTGGAATTCGGGGACCAAAACATAAAAATCACCATAGCAGCCCACAGTGTTTGTCAGTCTCCATTGGCCTTCTGGGGCTCTATAATCTGGGTTATTGGAAGGAGACCATTAACGCACATTGTACAGGATTTATTTAGGACGACAACGAGGACAAACTCCAACCAAGGATGTGACATGTCACAAATAAGGTCATTCTAGTCATTATGTGTGCAGCAAAGGAGGCTGTTTTGGTAATTACGCACTAACATTATTATCCATCTCAAATTGTACATCACATCAAATCCCAGCTGGCTACCTGCACAAACTGTCACATCCTAATTGGCACCCTTTACTTCGTACTGGTTCTATGCAGCAGGTCTTTATATAAGATTTGGATCCTTCATTCCCACACACAGTTCTGACTTGGGCTTGGGTCCTACTCCTACACAGGTAGAAAGTAGAAACCTCTATCAGTTATTCCCCATTTCATGGGGTGTCGTGCAAAGGGTAATTTGGTCTGGAGGCTAAAAAGTGAAGGGTATTTTGGCCATTAAAGGGACCTGGGTAGTTAGGGTTTTGGGTAGGATAGCCAATTGAAGACCAGAGGAGTGAAATTCCAAACTCACACACTACTTAGCATTTGCATGTTCACTACTGCCTCTATGGGTGCTCTATTCCATTTCATGTTCATGTACTTGACCAAGCTGTGGTCCGTTCTCTCCCTGCCTTAAATGTCTTATTATCTGTTTCTTGGTGCTATACTATCTCGGTAGAATGTGTCGTCAGCTGCAGAGAGAGATGTTGCATTGACCCTTGACAGGAGGGTGAAGTCTCTTGAATTTGAGACCAACCTGGCCTTTGTATGAACATTCAATAATGTTGGCTACCCAACTGTTGGTTGGTGACAAGCCTGGTCCTCTAGAAGAGATAGATACTTTGAGGAACAACTTTTCATCACGGCCTGGTTTTCTTAGTTCGGCTCTAATTACTTCCTCTATTTATGAAGGCAATATCGTGTTGGATTTCTACTTTTTAGTATTCTAGAGCCATGCATCTTTTTAAATTAGGGCTGTTCATAAGAAGGCCCAACCCGATTAAACCGATCTAACCTGAGTCGGCTGAGTTATCTTCAGCATGGGTCAGTTTCGGGTTGTAAAACATTATAAACTGATGGTTCAGGTCGGTTTCGGTTTTCTTGTATAAAAATCGAATTGACCCGAACCGAACCGACTAATTGTCCCTTTATGAAGTTTAAATTAATTAAGCCCCCATAACTAATTCTCCCTCTTCAAATCTATTACATTGGTTAGATTAATGATTATAATTAACTGTCCTGAAGTCTCTCTACAGAATTCACCCAAATCCCAATTAAGACAATTAAACTTCAAAATGAATATATAATCAAAGGGATAGGTTGGTGGT